TACAGGCCTGATTTTTTTCAGGTCTGATTTTCGCTATTGCTTAAATAGTGCTATCTACTGCGAGGATCGTGCCATATGTATCTAATACCACAGTTCAAAATATATGAACTTCATATATTTCATTGTATCTGATTTATCACTTTCACGGGTTTATTACGAATCAACTTAACGGCCTGCTCCCAGTCGGCTTGTTAGCTCACTTGGTAGAGCACTGCACTAGTATCGCAGGGGTCAGTGGTTCGAATCCCGTACAGGCCTGATTTTTTTCAGGTCTGATTTTCGCTATTGCTTAAATAGCGCTATCTACTGCGAGGATCGTGCCATATGTATGATTATACATTGCATCCTTTTATTCTTGTAGAAAAGAGAGCTCTCCATCTTTAAGGCACAGCATGAAACCGCTTTACCAAAAGAGGTGGTACTAGAGCAGCCAGACCAGCATGCCCTTGGCTCTAAGGAAAGGGGTTCATCATGGGACAAGATCTTGAAAAATCTGGTCAATGGGCGAATGAAAGTGACAAAACAATCAATAACAAAGAGGTTCACCAAACTATATGAAGAAAGAAAAGAAGGGGAAGAGATACAGTGGAGTTGATTTGAAGTATAATGAGAATCAGCAGCTATTGAAAGATTACCAGAAGCTGATACTTGACTGGGAGAAGGAGGGAAGAGAAAGTGAATGATGAGAAGGCAGTAGCAGAAGAAATGAGGAGAAAGGCCACTGAAAGGTTGAGTGTGAAGAGGAAAAGAAAGGTCAAAGATGCTGACAGTGGTAAAGACGAGCCAGGGCCCTTCAGGAGAAAGTCTCAAAGAAGTCTGGTTGAGATAATGGAACAAAGAATAACTAACCCACAGAGAGGAGAAGAAACGAGATATGGAGATCTAGGCAAATGAGCTCAAGCAGCAAGAACAGTTTCATGCCTTATTGTTGCAGTAAAGGCAGCAGATGCATTTGCTGCAGTAGCAGCAGCAACGACAAACCATGAATATGGCTATGATAAGCACATTGTCTAAAATGCTAAAAACTGTACAATATATGGCCTCCCAGTAGCTAGAGAGTCACAGAACAGTTGCCAATTTACATCTGTATTTCCCCATGTATATACATCTGTGCATGTCTGAAGTGATCATTGTTGTGCAATAAAAGCCAACCAGAGCTGGCTTTTTATAGCAAGAATAGACATAATGATGACATACTACAGGTCTTAGATCTACATTAAAGAATAGACTTCTTCTGAATGGCTGTCAGTTTGAGTTCACAAAAAAAAACTTCAATAAAGTACAGATTTTAAAATACAGGGAAGTACAGATTTAAATTGGGAATTCTCAAAGTCATGCTTTGAACACCAAATATCTCATTCACTGCAGTTTCAGTAGTTTTCTATTTTTATTTTCCACTCTTTAAGGTGTCATGTTACTATTTATTTAAAATATGACAAGCAAAAATTTAAACCTGATAAAATTCTAGCACTTAGTATGCCCTGCAGTAATTAATGACTACGTCATTCTGGTTTGTGGTTTTGCTATCAGGATAAGAAATCTGCAGTAAACAATACAAATGATGTACCAATAATTAGATGGCTATTTTTCGACTGCATATCTGATTTTGACAAAACTGCACACAGATGAATTTCCTTTACACTTGATCAATTGCATGTGTAATAAAAGTAAAAAGTTGAAAGTACTGTTAGATGATTGGTGGCTGGTCAAAAAGGGAGCTGGACACAGAACTGTACAAACAAGTGTGAGCATTCTGAACAAGAGCACAGGCAAAGTACATGGTGCCAACTGGACCAAGGACCATCTTTAGATTTTTTTTGAAGTCCAGGAAAGCAAAATATGAAAGATTGTCTTCAAAAACCCATTCAACAGCTGAGCAAACTTTGCTCATTGAGGAATTAAACACCTCTTGATCTGCCATGAAGTGGGCATGCCTACGAGGTGCTTGAAGATGGACTCTAAGGGGTATGCTTGGTCACCGTAAATGCAGAGTGGCTGCCGTGCCTCATCGTGTGAGTGTTGTTGGAGTCGAAAAAGCAAACCAGACGTGTGAAGCATTCTTGAATCATGCCTCTTACCCTCTACAAGGTAAAAAAAAAAAACAGCTTGAAACCAACTTAGATGATATAAATCATACAGCTGATGCTTGTGGGCCTAAATATATTTTAGTTCAGAGTGTAGCAAGGGTCAAAATGATTCCAATGTGTATGCCCAATAACATCAACTACATTTATTTACTATTATTTATAACCTTAGAGAGCATGACTTAACAATTATAGCTCATAGGGGCCAATTTTACAATGTATTTCATTTATAATTATAATTGGCAATATGGAACAAAAATAAATAAATAACTTAGCTCCTACATTTTGCAGAAGACTTACAGCATTTTAGCTGCTTTTGTGTTTATTGTTGCTAAAATTTTGGAGAATTTTCAAAATATTTTCTTTTTTATCTCCCACCATGAATGTTATCTCTATTTTGCTCATTCAAAGTTGGTTTAGTCCAGCATTTACACCACACTGTTTAAGAGGAAGAATGACTTCTGTCCATGGATCTAGCTGTTTTTTTTTTTTTTAAATGAAAAACACAATGATAAAAATTTCAGCTCCCTTCATTAGTACAGAGTATTTTCTTGAATCTACAATCAAAGACTTATTTTGTCTAATCCATTATTATACTGGGTAAAATTATTTCAGGGTCACATGTTGATTATGGACACAAGATTATAGTCTTGTTGTTCATTGAAAAAAATATATATGATGAATTCCTATACCACAAACACAATACTCACCAACTGGACCAAAAAAATTAGCTTTGAGGCCATTTGGAGCCACAACAGGCTGGAGCTTTAGGCCATGTACTCGCTTATGAGCATTGTACATGACCTTTTGGTGCTCCCCAGGGTGACAAGTAGGTCTAACCATACCATCTACAAATCCCCAGCAGTTGTCCAGTACTTTCTGACTGATCACCTGGGCAAACAAATCCAGTTGAGCTAGTCATAACCAGGGCTGGTACATGTCTTGAAGGAGATGGCCATGGGTGCTAACAATGAACTATGTTACCTCAGAGAGAATCAGACTTAACTCGGGGATTGAGCGGCCAAACCAAGGGATCATATCACCAAGATGACATGGATAAGCGAAGCACTTTGAAAACATGAACAGCCCTTCCAGGCCAGTGGCAACAGTTCTGTTGGTAGATGTGAATGATTCAGGGATCCTCAGAGCCTCATACAGAAGATTGATCTCACAACTTCCAAATCTAAACTCTGCCTTCAACTCTGCCTCACTCATATCTCCAAGTGTTGCCTCTACATGGTTGTACTTCCAGCAAGGAATCAATGGATTCTTCCAATTTTGGTCCATGATGATCTGTATAATGTCCTCCTCTTGAAATACATCATCACGATATAACATCATTGTTACAACAAGTGTATTTTTCTTCGAAAACATGGTCAAATCAGGGAGAAAGCAGCTTGAAAACTACAAAACTTGCACTAGCACTGGTTGTTTACGATCTAAATGTTGCCATTTTGATGCATACCAGGTCGAGGACAAGTCTGTAGTGCCAGTGGGCATGTGGCCAAAACTGGTCCTAGTCCTGGTTCTTTGATCTAAAGGTCTATTTACTATACAAGTGATAACCAATGTATATATTCACTAATTTCCTCAGCCAATAAACTTCCATCCGAAGCAAAAATGGCATTCTATGTTGCATTCACATGAACCAGTCATCGCGTGCGTCATAGAACATGTCATCACTGGAATCTTCTGAGTAAGTAAAAACACCAAATAAGTAAATTTTAAACTTCTCTCAATGTTTCACATGTGTAACAAAACCTTTCAGTAGATATAGGCACACTACTGGTTTTTCCAGAGCCTCGCACTTAAGCAAGCTCAGGGGAACCTATTAAGCAAAATGCAGAGGAGTAATCTGCAATCAATGGGTTATCATTCTATCCCTAGGGACTAATAACAATAGCCCTGATCATAATATGTCAGAGAAACCACTAAAGTGAAGTCACCATCAAATTTCTCTTGTTTGTGTTGGACCTATAGAGCAACTGTTTTTCTCATTTTGGACAAATCAAAACTTCAACAGATTAGAAAAAATAATGTCACTGTTATCCTAAATAATAACAACTAGTAGTTTGGAAAATTTGAGATCTTGAATCAGAATTTTTTAACTCTTTTTACATTTAATCCCCTATAGCTGCTGAAAATTTACCTGACTCTTGGGGAAATGGTCCTGGCTGTTCATTGACATCTGTTTCAAACTCCTCCTTATTAAGATTAAGGATAAAACAAAAAAAATTCAAAATCTCAAAATTATTTGTTTGGAAATAAGACATTAATGGCTATTTGATTTTAATCATAAAGACTATAGATTCTTGAGAAGCAAACTTATTGGCTTATATATTTTGACTCATTAATTCAGCAAATGCTGCTGTAGTGAAGTCAGCATAAAAAGACAAAATAATTGTAAAATTTAGCCAAAGTGAGGATGAACAGACGTTTTAAAAAAGGATTTGGTGAAATTTGAAATTTGGTGAAAAATCTCTAAATTAATGCAGCTGCATACAAAGGTTTAATATGGATACATAACCTCCCTTATTAAAATTAAAGATGCTATTGGTTTAATCTAACAACAAGCTCCCACCAATATCAGCATCGGTATCAATAAGATGCCAAATTTTAAAGTACCAAATAAAATATGGTAACGCCAAACAGTATGGATATTGTGTAACACCAGCCGCTTTGATGGCAAATGCCACCATTTAAGCACCAGAGCTATGAATTTAATTACCGCACAGTTAAGAATTGCTCTTACACTGTATTTATCTGATGCATTGGCCTCCTCAACAGCTGCACTGCTTCCACCAGAAGCAACATCAGCTACTCTCCTTGCTTCCGACCTTGACTTTGTGGCCAGAAACAACCGCATCAAGTGATTCTCCTGAAGCAATTAATACAAACACATTTAATTTTGGATAGTTTTGAGAGTTGTGGAGAGTTTTTAGAGTGCTACCACTTCTGTACAGTTAAATAGGGAAAAGAAGAACAGAGAACCACAAGGAATGACATGTCAAGGGAGAAATTGCCCCCTCCCCCAACCCTGCTAAAATGTTTCTTGTGAAACAAATATGCATTGAAGATACAAGTTACTAGTACAAATATTTTGCCAGGCACTCCCTAAGCTGTGATTAGCCAACCCAAAAACACCAACAAAACTAAAAAACAAATAAATGTAAACACATAAAAAATTCAATCATATGTTGGCAAATACTACAAAAGTCATTTATTGGTCCCTGTGAGGAACTCGGCTTCTCCTTAAAAGGGTTGTGATAAGTCAACTCCTATATTCACATGTCTTGCTTCAGTGAACAATATAAAGAGCACAATACTGATCAGAAGTAATCAAAGTGTAAACTACCTCAAGTATCCTATTTAACACCTTCTGTTCTTCCAAACAGCTCATCAACTAAAAGGAAAGAAATAATAGTTGTCAAGTTAGCAAACTTCACCTTCACCTTAACTTTAGACAGTTGCTCTTATTGATATTCAGTCCTGAACTAAAAAAAAAATTAAAGGATTTTCAGAAGAAATTGAATGTTCCTCAACTGAGCACCAAAAGGTCATTTAAGGATCTGCTAATTAAAGATCTACACAAATGGTCTTTCTGCTTGATTGCAAAATGCTTTGGCCCATACCTCTTCATTTTCCACCTGCAAACAATCTTTTGCAGCCTGTAGATGGGTACACTGCAGCCTGGATTCCTAGAACAAACCAATTATAATTAACAGAGTATACACAAGCCACAGGTGGTAATATATATTGAAAACAAATACAGTAACACATTAGAATATTAGTACCCAATGCTAAACCATTTTAAGGTCAGAGATATTTCAAACCAGTGAAGACACTTTTCACCTCCCTTCTGGAGTTTACATCAATTACTTGGCCATGACAATGAGTCTAAGCATAAAAAGCATTAAAAAATTGCCTTTAATAGCTCCACCTAGCCCTTTCAACTCTTTACTCTTAGCATACCCTAAAAGTTTGCCCACACTGGAACAGATCTCCTCAAAGAGTAATGCAAACGGACTCCTTTTCTCGCAATTTTTAGAGAAGATAATTGAAATATCAAGTTTGGCAATTCAAAATAAGATCATTTTATGTTGGGCTCTAGAGTCTGTTAATTATCATCACATATTATGTTTCACATTGTTTAACTATGAGGTCGTCCAAAAACACGATGGAGGGATGATCTCACCAGACAGCTGGGACCTGCATGGTCGAGATTGGCTAAAGTCAGATACTTGTGGATCATTCCAGGGAGGGGTTACTCTGCCAGGAGTGAATTTAGCCCTGATGATGATGATGATGATGATGAAAAGGTACCGTACAAACACTGTAACCCTTCCATTCCAAAGATCTTATTAATAATTCTTCTTACTGTCTGCCTTACAATTCTTATAATGTTTGTTTAGAGAAGTTGGTTTTGGGCTCAACTGACTATCCCCTAATTGATATTTTTCTTTGTTCTCGTCACTTGTCTGCTTGATATGGTATTGATATTGTAAGGAGAAGTTCTGAATTGGTCACTCATTGGAGTTAAAGGGTTAAGAGAATATTTTATATCTCTTTGACACTGGGCATACACAGCTTCTTCCAAACACTCGGGAAAAAGGAATTGCAACTATTTGAAGCTTCAATAATTACTTTGAGTAAGGTTCAGGCATGTTATCTGGATTCTGTCTTTGTTCATTTGGTAATGGTAAATATCAAGAAAGATAATAGAACAGTTTGGATCATGCCATGTATATTCAATTAATACTGCAATCATGGAAGATTTAAAAATTGCCTACTGAGATTGCTAACTTACCCTTGTCAAAAACAGGTTATCTTTCATTGAGGATTCTAATTCCTGAAATAAAAATTACGATGATACTGACTAAGTTTGAGAATTGCAACCATCTGAAAAATAACAAATTATGGTTTACTAATCGTATGGTTTAACTGTAATGTGAAAACCTTTCAAGTTTTCGGTGAAACCCAAGGACTTCTTTGTGTTAATTAACAACTATTCACCAAAGTGGAGATGGTTAGTGGTGGATATTTACTGAGCCACGAAGCAGCAAGGTAAATATCCACCGCTAACCACCGACACTGAGGTGAATAGTTGTGTTTTAGTATATACTATAACAGTGAGATAATATACACCACCAAAAATTGATTTGAGTGATTTCTTTGCTTGTCACGGATGCAAACCGGGATGCCATTTTTTCCTGAGTTGCTCGGAGGTATATAGCAAAGGATATTCAGAGTTTGACTTGTCAATCAGAGCATGCCTTCAATGCTATCCACTGTTTTAGTATATACTAATTCCAGCTATTTTATGATAAGAGTTTTAAAACCCACACTGCTAAAAGTTCCATGTTCACTACTGGTAAAAATATCTCATCTACTGAATCCCACTACTGAATCCCATTCAGGTACAGTCAGACAATAAGCTAAATGTTACCTGTCTGAATATATAATTTTGCATCTAAAACAACCCAGTAAGTTTAAGACTCAGGCTCCCAGAAAAACAACCAATGGATAAAATGTGAAGTAACATGACTTGTGTATGAACCTGGTCCTATTCACACCAACAAATCATTTGCACATAAACCAGATTAACCTGAATGAAAATTAAAACAGAGAACTGAAAAACTGACTTTTCCATAATGTTTCAAGTCATCACTACCTTAAATTTTCAATAGGTGTGCTAAATTTGAGGTCAACAAACATCTGATTACACAGCTTCTACGAAGAAATCATTTTAAACAGTCTTTCACAAAACAGCTTTCAAACATGTTTAAGCTTTGGTGTGAATGGGGTAATTAAGTCTTAAAACTCACACACTGTAAAATTTAATTCCTGAAATCCAGACAAAAGCCTCATGGCTTAATTGGCATTTTCTTCTTTCAATAATTATTAAATGATTACATAAGCACAACAGCACCTTCTTACCTGTAGTAATTCTTCCATACAACCATTATTTTCTGTGGCATCACAATGTTCTACAGGCCTGCTAGTTTCTTCCCCTTTTTCTGGGACAAAATCCACTTCCACTGGGTCATTCTGGTTTAGCCTGTTATTACAATGTATTATCACTACTCCTACAGGAGCACCAATTGTAGTGGGTCTAGCCGAGAGGCTTGTCAGCGACACACAGCGATGTTCAGTTTTTCCAACCACAGGTACATCAGTAGAGGCATCTACGACAGGTGTGTGCTCTGGAGTTGTGGATAATGATGTCATCTGAGAGTGAGGGTCACATTCTCCTGAGAAGAACCCAGTAACATGACTTTCATTTTGTACATCACCACCAGCAGCATTGTGCACAGCGCTTTCACTTGACCCTAGAGGGTGGAGATTAGATTTAGGACATTCCCCACCAAAATCTCCCCATAACGAGGAAAGGAGATCAAAATCAGGCTGACTACCAATGGGTTCACCGATCGATATTTCCTCCCTAACATCAGGCTTCACAGTGCTTTCTGGAGGCTGCCGCTGTTTAGTTTTTGGAATGGCTCCCTCATGTTCTCTCGCTCTTGGGTTAACCACTGGCTATTTACAGAAAGGATCTGGAGCAAAAGGAGATGAAAAGCAATAATTTACACTTAAAGACACAAATGAGAGTGAAATGAAATTTTGAGGTAAACATAAAATTCTAGGATAAACGTGTATCACTATAATTACATTTTAATAAACATTAAAAAGAAAATTCTCCAAAAAGTGCAAAAACGCGAAAAGTGAAGAAAACCGTTCTGAAAAATTGTGCAAAGTCGACTAAATATCGAGGTTGTACCTCTAGTCAAAAGTACTTTCTAAGCCTCCCGAAATCCTACCAGCTAGAGATGCAAGACGAGAGAAATTTCATCTTGGGGATCTTTCTAACCTGTAGCACGATGAAAAGGAATTTATAGTGGCGATTCTATTCATGAGTTTTGTTTACCGTTGTTAGCGTAGGTCCTTGCGGCTACAGTGTTAAGACTGTTGAGCTAAAACTCTGCTGAATCGAACAAGAAACTTGAGATCGACGAGGATGAAGGGAACAGCCATACCATTTTTTTTTTAAGCAAAATTTCCCTTCATATAACCTCTATAATGTATTATTTACAAGTATGAAGTATGTAATAATGTTCAAATCTGATTCAATCGTGTCTCTTGACTGTTGTCAAATGGCAAATGGTATTATTGGAATAGTCCGCCAGGCAGTCCGTCATATTGGAATAGCCGACAATTTCCATAATCGCCCGACCTAGAAACTCGTCATTAGTGCTCCTCGGATTTAGGCCTAACCGTGCGTGCCAGGGCACGTAAGCGATAAAAGCGTAATATTGAACCACCGGACCCCACCAGACTACTTTCGCTATAGTCATTATTCCATGCACCTAACAAGAGAGGACCACCAGGCCCTTTCGAAACAGATCTGTAGTACAGTGTTATAATTTTTCCTTTACCTTTACCGGTCCGCACACTCATCCTTACGACAAAGACTTCAAAGCGTTTTTACCTCTTCGTAAATGTTCTCTTCACTAAACTTTAGCTGGACCCAGACAAACGCCGGGGAAATAATGATTGAATGAGTGCGGTCGCAATGTTTTGTTGACTAAAGGAAGGCGTGCTCACGTGCATTGCGCGGGAAAAGTGGCTGATGCAACAACACCACTCGATCGCATGCAGCTTACTCACACATCTGATAATTGAGTCAGAAGAAGCGAACCAATATCCTACACGACAAGCTCTTTCGCAAAAAGAGATAGAAAAAGTCCCTTTTCTCGATGTAAAGTTTACAATTGGCGACTTTATGTTTAAACTTTAGGCTATTTGTTTCTTTCCTTTTCTCCTTTTTCTGTTTTTGTTTTTTTGTTTGTTTTTTTTGTTTGTTTGTTTGTTTGTTTTTTTTTCACTCCTTCTGCATCTGGGTCATGAAGAAAACGAAGTAGTAAGTATTCGACTAGTCATGCCTGAGGCCAGATTTCAGATTCGAGTCAACACGTTATAAAAATTAGTTTTTTAGCCAGTATTCCTTGTAAGGTTTTTTTGGAGTCAACTCAGATCGTTGATAATCACATCACATCATATTAATCGCACCGCAGAAACGTCGATCGCATGTTTGAATCTCGCTGAACCATGAATTAGAATATTTATTGGTAAAACCAGTTTGCTACCACTTAGTTTCCTACGTAATACAAGTTAACGAATTACATTTTTGCATGTCGCAATTTCGGCGGGAACATCGCCTGAAACGATACCCATGGCAATGAACAAATGTAGTAAGAACTTCACCTGATCATTGCTCATATAGCTGCTGTCAGATAATATCCTCTAATTTAAAATTAATGAATATTCATATCGCCTGTCCAATGCTGCTTGTTCTAGACCCAGACAGAGTCAATTTCCTGCTGAGTCATCGACTGTCGCCATGGCCAAGAGAGCTATGAAACACAAATATGATAAGATTTGTTCGTTGTTTGTTTCCAAGCGGAAGAGAATCCGTATCACCGGAACACTTCAAATTTCAAATTCACCTGTTAAGCTGACTAGTGTCTTCGTTTTTGTTTCCTTTAAGCCGGTGTCTCCATTAGTTGAAGTTTTCCCCAACTGAAAAAGATACCGAATGTTCATCCTGGCAGTTTCTCAAACTCATTAATAATTCATCAAGTTACAAACCAATCACGATACGCCAATTTGGCCACATGTGTACGTTTAGAAACCCCGATGAAATACTGGACAGAGGCTTTTCCACTATACTTTGATGAAATATCAAACCCTAGAGCTTGATAAAATGTCAAACCCCACTGATGCCAAAATCAGTCACAATTTTTTCATTGTTCTTGGCTAATGATGCACGATTGAGAAGCAATTTCAAAAACTCGTGCTTCGTGTTTCATCGGGGTTTTCAAACACTCGAAAACAATAAAAGCACNNNCCAATTTCAAAGAGGTTACCGCCAAAAGACAAAGAACTTCAAACAGAAGAAACACATATTTGAAAATGGCGCTAACAATTTCACACGATCTCTTTCATTTCCTTACTTCAGTTGTGAACTCAGTACAACAAATCCATCGAGGGCAAGAAGCATCGACGGAGAGAGTTGTAAATATTTCAGGCTGCAAGAAACACAACTTAAGCCTTCCGAAAACATATTGTACTCATGAATAATACACTCATGAATGGAGAGCGTTAGGTGATGCTATCGCCCAGGTAGTAAAAAATCTGCATTAGCATTGTGTAATATGCACGCATCACTGAAAAATGAAACGCCAAAATGAAAGCCATGAATTTATCATAATTGTACTTTGAAGCATGAAATGGGGGAACACGTTCATAAGAAGAAAACTCTGATTTGAAAACGAAATTCGGGAGGTACCTAGTAGGAGAACATAGCAATACTGAGCAAGAGAAGTATAAACGAGAGAAAACGAAGAGGCTGTCGTTGTCATTTAGAGAAGAAAAACGCCATGGCGCGACGTCAAGCGGAAAATACTACAAATATTCAAATTTAAAAAAGGAATATCTTCATTTTCATAAAAGTCACCTTACAACTTAACATTAGTTCTGTAAATTGATTCCACTGCACGTGGTTTCAATGCTTTCAATTTCAACTCACTAAGCTGTCTTATCATTTCAATACAAAGACACGCTTCGATTATGACGAAGCTACTAGTGTAAAAGATAGACTGGCCGGTCATGAATTACATGATACTCGCTCAGCAGTGAGTGGAGGGCTTGTGCGACTTAGACGGCTGTATTTCCGGCCGAAAGTATGATAGCTAGGAAAGCGCTCCTATAAAATAGCCGACAAAAACAAAAACAAAACAAATGTTGCCACAATTATCATGGGGTTGTACCGTATAGCAAAATCGAACTCAATTTAGTCCAC